TGTGCTGTCCAGAGCACTAAAATTCAAACCAAAAGTTTATCAAGGGAAAGACATTCACTTAGCGTTACATACTAAACACACAAATGATACCTTTAGGCCCCAGAAAAGAAAACAGAGAAGTTAAAAATCAAAACACTTACCAGCAGCTGCAATTCCAATGAAAACAGAGGCTGTGTAGAAGGACCATGGGAAAGGCTGGATAAAAACGGCAATGTACATGCTAAAATATAACAGGTCAAGGTATTATAGTCAAACGATACCTGAAATAGAATGCCAATTATGCCTTCTAGGAATCAGTTCTGAGATTCTCTTCTTTTAAAACTCAACCTGCAAAGGATCGCTCCAGTTTTGAAAACAGGGACACAACTTTCTCATTTCTTAATCAATTAATTTTTTTGAAACAGGGTCTCTACATTGCCTGGACTGGAGTGCAGTGGCACCATCACAGCTCACTGCAACCTCCACCTCCCAGGCTCAAGCCATCCTCCCACCTCAGCCTCGAAAGTAGCTGGGACTACAGGCATGTGCCACCACACCCGGCTAATTTTTTCTATTTTTGGTAGAGACAGGGTTTCACCATATTGCCCAGGCTGGTCTCGAACCCCTGGGCTCAAGCGATCCTCCACTCAAGCGATACCTCGGCCTCCCAAAGTGTTGGGATTTACAGGTGTGAGCCACTGAGCCTGGCCCGTAATTTATCATTTCAAATTTGTAAAATCAAGACATTTTACAGGTTTGCAGTGTCCTTTGCCAAAAGCTTAGCACATTATGGAACTACAGTTCTAGAGCTCAGCGAAACATTTAGTTATTTCAGACATGATTTTGAATCCCCACTTATCTTCAGTCTACTGACAGAAAGTAAGATTATTTCATGGAATGTTCTTTTCAACCCTCATGGAAAGAGACTTTTGGATACTATTCTTATTAACAGTAAAACAAAAGCAGATACACATACATACTATCACATTAGCATCTGATATCCCTGAGCAACAAGTACTGAGCCAGAAGTCCTCAAATCCCACCTATATTCTGTTCAGCTCAAGCCTATAAATTATTGTGAAAAATTTACTATCTACTTGAAAGATCCTGAAAAGTGTTCTAATTAAATAAGTAAAAGATGACACTACTCACCTGTAAAATAAACCACTGGCAAACATAGAGAGTTGAGGTCCTACAATGGCCACCACTGACGGTGTAATCAAATTTGAGGCAGAGAACACTCCATAGATAATTGCCATGCTGCACACATAATACACAAATGAAAAAAAAAAAAAGAGAACAAAGCCCTTGTATGCTGTGTCACTTTTTAAAAAAATTTATTTATTTTTTTATTGCATTTTAGGCTTTGGGGTACATGTGAAGAACATGCAAGATTTTGCAGAGGTACACACATGGCAGTGTGATTTGCTGCCTTCCTCCCCATCACCTATATCTGGCATTTCTCCACATGCTATTTCTCCCCAACTCCCCATCCCCCACTGTCCCTCCCCTATTTCCCCCCGACAGACCGCTGTATCACTTTTTAAAATCCATTTGTGTTTATAGATTTTACAATAAACAGTCATATTCTTTAGTCAGAGTTTATGATAATTATATCACTAAACTCAACACCATATAAAAGTTTTCATTTCTAAAAAACATTGAAGTCCCATCAGCGGTGTCTTAAGATCAGTTTGTCTACAGCAATACGTTTTTTATGGACTGCTAAGTCATAACTACAGGCACTGCGCCAAGTACTTATACATGCTTTCTCTTTTAATCCTAACAGCTCTAGGAAGAAGATATTGTCATTATCCTCATGTTAGAGAAAAGGAAAAGGAAATACAGTGGGGTTAAGTAATTTGCCAAAAGTCCGCCTGAGTGGCTGGTGAATGTCAAGCCAGGACTGCATGACTCCAGAGGCCCTAGTCCACCAATCTCCTCTACAAACTTAGCCTACAACTCCTGGCAGCTCCAGGACATTTCTCTGCTATAAATAACAAGCGCAGAGTTACGACTTGCTTAAGCCAGAATTTATTTAACACAACCTAATGGTCTCACTTGAACATTGCTCAGTTACTATTGACCGAGCCCTAGTACATTGTCTTGTACAAAGTGTGACTAAAACCATTTCAAGGGCCCTGACTGAATTCATTTACTAGGCACTATTCATAAATCCAAAGTAAATTATTCTTTGGCTTTTATGAATCTCTCAAATATCAAAGGTCTTTTTCTTTTTGTATTTATTCTTTAGAATACACATAAAGACAAAGCAGTACAAAAAGCTGTGCCTCAAATGCTATATACAAGGCTTAGGATAGGTAATGAACCAAGTAAGAGTTATGGGTTTGTGGGGGTGGATGGGGGTGTCATGATCCAATCTCTAACTCTAGAGAAATAAACCTGTTTCTATAGCTTAGTGTAGACATTCCACGATATATATTTCAAAACATGCTGTACACAATAAATACACGCAATTTTCATTTGTCAATTAAAAAAATCTAACTTTAAAAAAGAAAAACCTATTTGTGTTTCTATACGTATACATATTACATTCTCAGCTCCAATCACAAGGCTCCAGTGACTTGTGAAGGTCTTTTCTTTTTTTTTTTTTTTTTTGAGATGGAGTCTTGCTTTGTTGCCCACACTGGAGTGCAGTGGCGCAATCTCAGCTTACTGCAACCTCCACCTCCTGAGTTCAAACAATTCTCCTGCCTCAGCCTCCAGAGTAGCTGGGATTACAGGCATGCGCCATCACACCTAATTTTTTTGTATTTTTAGCAGAGACAGGATTTCACCGTATTGGCCATGCTAGTCTGGAACTCCCGATCTTGGGATCCACCCGCCTTGGCCTCCCAAAGTGCTGGGATTACAGGCGCCAGCCACTGCCCCTGGCCTCAGGTCATTTTACCCATCTGTAAAATTGGGACTAAACACTTCACCAAAAATCTAAAAGTTCCCAACATATTAATCGTCATGAAATTACAAAAACAGAAGGACCAAATGTTTCAAGAATCACAACATGTTCTGTTCAGGACAGGGCAATTCTACCCATAACAATAGTAGGCTGCTTCTTCAATGCCGTGCACAAGTGCCTTACAGGCATTTTCTGTGCTAGGAAATTGGGCTCATGGCAACACTTGCCTAAGATAACAATGGAACACTTTGTAAAATGAGGATTTCAAATCTAGTGTCTAATTCCACAGAAAACACCAACTCATCAGCTTTATTCTATTATGTTCTCCCAGTCTAGGTACTGAGAAGAGAAAATGCAATCACTACTAATTCAGTCACAATATTCTATGGCTGGGGATTCTGACGGGATTTAAGCAACTACTGTTAAATATAAAGCAAAACTAATCATGCAGTACGATACCTGGTATATCCACTGCCGTGAAAATCTGTGCTATTTAAGCTCCTGATGACAGTTTGCTGTGTGGAAGATAAAACCAATCAACGAAAACGTTTTGCAGTCTCCCTCCCCCCACCTTGGGAAGTGTGACTCCCAAGTACTCAAAATGCAAATAAAGTAAAAGTTCATAATGCTCTATATTTAATACTGAAGTCCATTATGAGAAAAGAAAAAAGACAACAGAATTGGAGAAGGCAAACCAATGACAGGGAGAGGGGGAGGAAAAGCAGCTGTAACTACGCCTTGGGTTTCCTCCCTTAACCATCCAAGTACTAAGGAACAGCTTCATACAGACAAGAAATAAAGTAACTAGGTCAACATGCAAACCCCTAATCAAATCAGGTAAACGGTAATGCTTAACTCCACCACCCCCCCCCATGTAGGAGGAATATCTGACGTAAAAAATCAAACCTAATTATAAAAAATGAGGAAGCCTGGGTGGGAAAAATAAAAGATGCAATTTAAGCGCGCCACTAGATATAATTAACGTTTATTATCATTTCTGGAATGCATTATGCTGGGCACTTCAAAGGAAGGACAGGTTCCAACTCACCGCCACATTTCCACAAGTTTGAAAGGCAGTGAACATAAACATAAAGGCAACTCCTAAAATAATGATGTTGAAAAGCTTTTTAGATTCCGGGGACATTTTGGCTCAGCTCCGCCGGAGGTCAGCAGCAGCCCAGGGCAGTCAGCTCTTGTCGGGGCGAAGCCACTGACAATCCTGGGGAAAGATATGAGGTGGTGAGCGGAGAAGGCAGATGCCGGAGCCAGCAGCCAAGCTGTCAACTTCCAGTTCATGAATCAGAATCCCGGGTTTAGGGCGAAGTTCTCCCCACCGGCATTTAGGACATTCCGAAGATCCGATTTGAGTACGGAAGAGCACAACCCTCGGAGAAGCGCCAAGAATGTAGCCGCTCCAGGTTGAGGGGGCCGCGAAGGGGATTAAGGGGCCAAGAGGGAGCCACAGGAGCCCAGCCCGCGCAGCCCCGCCCTCCCCGCCTGATTCACCGCGGTCAGGCGACCCGGTCACCTGACCGCAGCCGCGGCGCCGGCCGCTCGGCCCGCTGGGAAACGTAGTCCCGGATGGCCCACCAGGAGCAGGTGCTCCGCAGACACTCCCCACCGCCAGGACGCAGAGCTGGCCGAGCTCGCTGGCTCTGGCGCAACTGGGTGAGGAAGCGGACCGTGGAGAAGAGCAATCGGGAACTATTGGACGGGGCCGAGAGACGACGCAGCGGAGTCTGAGGAGGCCGGGGTCACAAGGAGAGGGAAATAGGGGCAGAAGCACCCTTCTGACACAGGCAGGGCGGAGGGCTGGGGGCTGAGCAGAAAAGCTGCGTGGACTCGGCGTATTGGAATGAAAAGAAGGCGGACCCTAGAGGGGGAGCACCTCCTCTTCCTCCTGCCCGAGCGCGGTCGTCCGGCCTCCCAGGCGGAAACAGCGTTTCGCGGGCTTTCCAACTGCCCGCTAATTCCGCTCCCCCTCCCTCCAGCAGTGACTCCGCGCTTTTTGGCCCGCCCGCCGGGCTGTGCGCAGGCGCGTCGGGCACGCGGCAGGGACGTTGCAAAACGGAGTGCGGCGGCCCAATCAGAGGATTTCGTTTCCGGGTGGCGCGGGCGCCATTTTGTGAGGCGGAATATAAAAAGGCGCTGGGTCCGGCCCCCCGCCCAGTTGTTGCTGAGGTGCGTTGGCCTGGAAGGGCTGTCTGCGCTGTTTGCCCTCAAGGCCTTCCCCGGCGTCCCCACGCGGAAGGCAACAGCCAGACGAGAGACGCGGCGTCGCACCGCCCAGAGCCGCAGAAGCCGGCGCCAGTTCGCGGGGCTCCGGGCCGCCTCTCAGAGCCATGAGCTACGGCCGCCCCCCTCCCGACGTGGAGGGTATGACCTCCCTCAAGGTGGACAACCTGACCTACCGCACCTCGCCCGACACGCTGAGGCGCGTCTTCGAGAAGTACGGGCGCGTCGGCGACGTGTACATCCCGCGGGACCGCTACACCAAGGAGTCCCGCGGCTTCGCCTTCGTCCGCTTCCATGACAAGCGCGACGCCGAGGACGCCATGGATGCCATGGACGGCGCCGTGCTGGACGGCCGCGAGCTGCGGGTGCAGATGGCGCGCTACGGCCGCCCCCCGGACTCGCACCACAGCCGCCGGGGACCGCCACCCCGCAGATGCGGAGGCGGTGGCTACGGACGCCGGAGCCGCAGGTGAGCCGGGCTGGGGGACCGCGGGAGGCGGGGCAGGGCGCGCGGGAGGCCGGGGCGCGGCGCGCGGGACGCCGGGGCGCCTCACAAAGATCCGCGGCGGAGCACGTGGGGCGGGCCCGGGCGGGGCGGGGCGGGGGGGGGGGTGCACGCGGCTCCCCGCGACCCTCGGGCCGCCCCGCGCGCTTCCGCCCTCTGCGCCCCAGCGGCGTCCCGGGTGTGGGCGGCGCGGGGCGCAGGACCCCGCCTCGCGACTGGGGAAATGGCGTCTGGCGGCGAGATAATGGCGGCCTGGGCAGGAGCGCGCGGGCGGGGCCGGCCCCGCCGCCAGGAATTAACCCCGCTGTGCTGCTCGTCCCGCCTGCAGCCCTAGGCGGCGTCGGCGCAGCCGATCCCGGAGTCGGAGCCGTTCCAGGTCCCGCAGCCGATCTCGCTACAGCCGCTCGAAGTCTCGGTCCCGCACTCGCTCCCGCTCTCGGTCGACCTCCAAGTCTAGATCCGCGCGAAGGTCCAAGTCCAAGTCCTCGTCGGTCTCCAGATCTCGCTCGCGGTCCAGATCCCGATCTCGGTCCAGGAGTCCTCCCCCCGCGTCCAAGAGGGAATCCAAATCCAGGTCGCGATCGAAGAGTCCCCCTAAGTCTCCTGAAGAGGAAGGAGCGGTGTCCTCTTAAGAAAAAGGTAATGACTGGGAATCAGAGACACAACCCTAACTCATGAATGGGATTTAGGGTAGGTCTTTTGAGCCGTGTTAATGTAAGAATGACTCCTAACGTTAGGAGTGCTGCTCTGAGGTTACTCACCTTTGGGAGTGATACTGAAGAGGGGTCTGCAGGAAGGATGTGTATGAAGCTTAGATAATAATGGCTGTTTCGTAAACTGTTTGAGACCTATTAATGAAAATGACTATTTCTTGCTGTTTTTATCCAACGTCTGCATTTTCCCCCTTTAAAGCTGCGGTCTCCTGTTTGATAAAAGAATATTGGCCAGTATTGCAGATTTTAACTGATTTGGCTGATCCTCCAGGGACCAGTTTCTGTGGGCGTGTATTGGAGCAGGTTTGTCTTTAAATGTTAAAGATGCACTATCCTCTTAGAGAAAAACGTTCAGTTCAACTATTGTTGTACTGACTGGGACTTCATATTCTAATGGATGTGGCAAACGAATTGCAATAAGAAGCAGTGAACTTTTGGAACCCCAAAGAAAGATTACAGGTATCGCACTGGGTGGGGAAAGGATAGTGTGTCTTTAACTCTCAAATTGTTTGGTCCTATTTTTTAAAAAGGAAAGGGCCCTAAGTAGCTCAGATAATAAAGTATTATTCTCAGTTGCCAAATGTTTCATTTGAAACAACTTATCTTAGTAAAATATAGACCAATTCTCTGATTTCGAGTTGTTTTTGTTTGGATACAGCCCCCCCCCCCTTTTTTTTTCTTTTTTTATTTTTTTTTCCCTCCCCCTTACCATTCTTCACCTTGGTTATTTGGCCAGGAATACGTAAATTCAAACTCGTACATGGTGGTAGCCTTTGTGAAATTTCCTACTTGGGCCTTTAAAAAACATGGCTGGGTGGAACATTTCTGTACCCTACTCGTTTCACCAGAGCCTTAGTAAGTACATGCCTGAAACTGAAACCATGTGCACTTTAATGGAAGGTAAGCTGAACTTCTTTCTTTTCAAACCTAGATGTATCGGCAAGCAGTATAAATGGAGTACTTGGGGGAAAAGGACCACATACTCAGTCCATCTAAGAAGAGTCCTTGGAACAAGCAACTGGCTATTGAAAAGGTTATTTTGTAACATTTGTCTAACTTTTTACTTGTTTAAGCTTTGCCTCAGTTGGCAAACTTCATTTTATGTGCCATTTTGTTGCTGTTATTCAAATTTCTTGTAATTTAGTGAGGTGAACGACTTCAGATTTCATTATTGGATTTGGATATTTGAGGTAAAATTTCATTTTGTTATATAGTGCTGACTTTTTTTGTTTGAAATTGAACAGATTGGTAACCTAATTTGTGGCCTCCAGACTTTTAAGGAAACGTGTGCAGCCATTACACACAGCCTAAAGCTGTCAAGAGATTGACTCAGCATTGCCTTCATTCCTTAAAATTAAAAACCTACAAAAGTTGGTGTAAATTTGTATATGCTATTTACCTTCAGATCTAAATGGTAATCTGAACCCAAATTTGTATAAAGACTTTTCAGGTGAAAAGACTTGATTTTTTGAAACAATTGTTTATCAAACACAATTCTAATCTCTTCTCTTATGTATTTTTGTGCACTAGGCGCAGTTGTGTAGCAGTTGAGTAATGCTGGTTAGCTGTTAAGGTGGCGTGTTGCACTGCAGAGTGCTTGGCTGTTTCCTGTTTTCTCCTGATTGCTCCTGTGTAAAGATGCCTTGTCGTGCAGAAACAAATGGCTGTCCAGTTTATTAAAATGCCTGACAACTGCACTTCCAGTCACCCGGGCCTTGCATATAAATAACGGAGCATACAGTGAGCACATCTAGCTGATGATAAATACACCTTTTTTTCTCCTCCCCCCAAAAATGGTAAATCTGATCATATCTATATGTATGAACTTAACATGGAAAATGTTAAGAAAATGGTTGTAACTTTGTAAGTACTTACAACATGGTGTACAACATGGTGTATCTTTTTGCTTATGAATATTCTGTACTATAACCATTGTTTCTGTAGTTTAATTAAAACATTTTCTTGGTGTTAGCTTTTCTCAGAATATGTCTTGGTTTTTTCTCCCCCATTTATTTGAAAGACCTATGCAATTGTTCTGTGATTATTGCTGACTGCATAGTATGGAAGTGGAATGTTAGTGCCTATCATTTCCTAAGTTAAAGTGGAAATGCTAGTTGAACACCTGAAATCAAGGTGGCACTTTGCTTGCGATTGTGATACCCCTTTATCAACCTAATTTATATCCTATTTAATGATTAAGGAACAATCCAAGTACTTCTAATAAGTATTTTAATTTTTGTTTCATATGAGTTAATGTGTTGTCTAGGTGACACAAATCTAAGGCCAACAGACTTGACCACCTTCAGACCCACTGCATTCTCAAGCTGAAGCGGTCTGAACCTAGTCTGTGTGCCAGGTTGCTCATCAGTATTAATACCCTCCCAGAACAGCTTGTTAGGTATTCAGAGACTGTCCTTTGCAAACGAAATGACCAGCATTTCAACTGTATGTCTTCCTGGAAGGGCAGATTCTGCTATATCTTCTTTGTCTGCATCAAAAGACTCCAGAGGAATACGGACACATTTCATATCCCATTTGTAGAGCAAAGCTTCAAGTGACCAGTCAGCACTTAAAAAAATTATAATAAATTGTTTTTTTTAAATCATGCCTTTTCTGTTTTGCTTCAGATATATTTTATTCTTAAATTATGTATTGCATGGGGCAGGGTAGAGTAAGGCTTAAGTTACATTCAAAAGTAAACTAGTGTTATCCATACTTACCTTCTAACTTGGTAAGTAGCCCACAATTGGACCTTGGGGTTCTTCTGCATCAAAAAGTATATTGTAGTTAAAATGTCTTCAAAATCTGAGGAGAAAGGATTTATAAATACTTCCCTATAGCGTCACTGGCCAGATGTCCTATTGAGCCAAAAAAAAGTTTACCTTCCGGTTCAAAGAACACATCAGATGCAAGGATAATATCTTGTGGTGGTAGAGCCAGAAGATCCCAAGATACATGACCCCATGTTAGTCCTACCACTTGCAGCTGGGGCAGGTTATTCATTTGGCAGCTTTGCCGACAGACTTCTAGACAGTGAGGCAGTTCTGAGCTGTCTGATAGTATTACTTCTGCACCACATTTTGCAGCCAAAATTCCTGGAAGGCTCACTCCAGCTCCAATCTAGTAACAAGTTATAAAAAATGGCATTTCACACACTTGGAACTGCAAAGAAATGCAGGGAATCTTAGTAGTTTTTCATTACATCCTTTTTCTAGCTCAGTCGCCCAGGCTGGAATGCAGTGGTTCCATCTCGGCTCACTGCAACCTCCGCCTTGTGGGTTCAAGCCATTGTGCTGCCTCAGCCTCCCAAGCAGCTGGGACTACAGGTGTGTGCCACCATGCCCAACTAGTTTTTGTATTTTTAGTAGAGATGAAGTTTTACCATATTGGCTAGGCTGGTCTTGAACTCCTGACCTCAAGTGGTCTGCCCACTTCAGTCTCCCAGAGTGGTGGGATTACAGGCATGAGCCACAGCACTTGGGCGTGATTTTCACTTGTTAGCACATCTATAGTTGATTGCTCTTATGTAGCTAAAACCTAGCAGGTTTGCAACATGGCTTTCTAGTAAAGATTCTCCAGTTGGGCTTTGAAAGTGGCAAGATGCTTTGTGGACACTAAGAAATAATACTAAGGAATGCCTTCCTAGTAGTAACAAAAACAAGCTTCCCATTTTTCCAGTTAAAGGATGGGCATAGAGATTATTCTGGGTGCCCAACAGTTACTACTAAGGCCAGAAGTGTGTGCCAAATCCTACCCTTCATTTATGTGGTATAGTAAAAAGTGGGAGGTTAATATTAAGCTGCTGGTTTGTCTACTTAGGTGTAGAAGTCTATGTGATAAAATTGATTTTTTTCAAGCCTTCAGCAGTCTAAAGCCAGGTAGCGAGGCAAGGAGGAGAA